ATAAGACAAGAGAAAGACATCCAAGGAATCCAAATAGGAAAAGAAGAAGTCAAACTATCACTATTTGCAGATGATATGATAATATCCATAGAGAACCCCAAAAACTCCATAGAAAAACTAATTCAACTCATCAATCAGTTCAGTAAAGTGGCAGGATACAAAATCAACACGTAAAAGTCAGTAGCCTTCCTATACACAAACAATAAATCTGAAGAAGAAGAAATCAAAAAACCATCCCTTTTTTTATTGAAACAAAAAAAATCAAATATTTGGGAATAAATCTAACAAAAGAGGTAAAGGACCTATACAAAGAAAACTATAAAACACTGTTAAAAGAAATAGAAGAAGACACAAAGAAATGGAAAGACATCCCCTGCTCTTGGATTGGAAGAATAAACATTATTAAAATGGCCATGCTTCCCAAAGCAATATACAGATTCAATGCTATTCCAATCAAAATTTCAATGTCATTCTTTAAAGAAATAGAACAATTATTGATGAAATTCATATGGAACCACAAAAAACCCTGAATAGCCAAAGCTCTACTGAAAAAAAAGAAGGGAATGGAGGCATCACACTCCCAGACTTCAAACTATACTACAAAGCCATAATCATCAAAACTGCATGGTATTGGAACAAGAACAGACATACAGACCAATGGAATCAAATAGAAAATCCAAAAATAAACCCACAGATTTATGGTCAACTAATCTTTGACAGAGGAGCAAAGACTATGCATTGGAGCAAAGAAAGTTTGTTCAATAACTGGTGCTGGGAAAACTGGGTCCCTACATGCAAAAGAATGAAGTTTGATCACTACCTCACACCATACACAAAAGTCAACTCAAAATGGATTAAAGAACTAGACATATGACCTGAAACCATAAAATATATAGAAGGAAATATAGGTGAAACACTACGTGATTTGCACATCAAAGACATCTTTACAGACACTTCACCCAAAGCAGTAATAGTGAAGGCAAAGATAAACAGCTGGTACTACATCAAATTAAAGAGCTTCTGCACAGCAAAAGAGACAATAACAAAAACAAAGAGAAACCCCACCAACTGGGAGAACATTTTTGCACCCAACACTAATGATAAAGGACTGATCACAAAAATCTGCAAAGAGCTGATGAGACTCAACAACAACAAAGAAAATAATCCAGTCAAAAAATGGGCAGAAGAGCTGAAAAGAAACTTCTCTGAAGAGGAAATGCAAATGGCCAACAGACATATGAAAAAATGTTCAACATCACTTGTCATCAGGGAAATGCAAATCAAAACTACCATGAGATTCCATCTTACACCAGTGAGAATGGCACATATTAAAAAAACTAGCAACAACAAATGTTGGTGAGGGTGTGGAGAAAAAGGAACTCTTCTGCACTGTTGGTGGGAGTGCAAACTGGTCCAACCACTTTGGAGAGCTGTGTGGAGATTTCTGGACCTACTAAACATAGAGCTTCCATATGATCCAGCAATTCCACTCCTAGGTATTTACCCAAAGGACACAGAAAAATCAATTCCAAAGAACACCTTTACCCCTATGTTTATAGCAGCACTGTTTACAATAGCAATAGCTAAGCTTTGGAAACAACCTAAATACCCAAAAATAGATGACTGGATCAAGAAGATGTGGTACATATATACCATGGAATATTACTCAGCATTCAAAAAAGATAAACACATGCAATTTGCAGCAACATGGATGGCGCTGGAAGGGATCATGCTCAGTGAAATAAGCCAAAAAGAAAAAGAAAAATACCGGATGGTCTCACTCATAGCAGGAATCTAGAAAACTTAAATAAGGGACCAGGAAAATGAATAACTATAAGAAAGTGAAAATCGGAATCAACAAAAAACTATGAACCAGAGACACTTTTAGGGGGCGGGGGCGGGAGGGGAGGGATTGGGGTCAGAATGGGGGGGCTGCAATTGTATGGGGAATATAAAAATAAAATTTATTATTTATAAAAAAAAATGATGTTGATCCATGGGTTCCATACCATTCCTATCCATGATGGTATTCACTTCTACTGCTTGCTAACACAAGCAGTGATGGATTTTTATTCCTCTAGAATTTAGAGACAATGATCTTAACAAGTAGGAAGAAGCTACAGAGAAAAGACCTTTGGTCCCACATCCTCATACGAAAAGTATTAAAATCTCTTAAGGGAAAATGACTGCTTAGGTACAAGAATTGCAATGAGTTTCCCCAGTATGGATTAAACAGGTGGACTAAATCGTAGACTAGCAAGCCCTGTCCAAACAATTTAGCTTATCACACTGACCATGAAGCACCACGATAGACAAAAAACATTAGATACTGACTAATGATTATCTCAGAATTTCCTGGAGGGAGAAGGCAGAGAGCCCATATGTACAATTGAAAGGTAACCCATCTGTGCATGCCCTGGTTTAGCCTATTCAGAAAAGCTATGACGCTATTCTCCTCCCTGCCTGGTGTCCTTACACTTTAAATATCTCCTTCTGATTCCCTTTAGGGAAACAGTTTATATTTTCCTTCCCAAACTGGCTCCCTAATCCATGAGTCTCTCTAGTAAAGCCTTACCTGGTTCAACTACAAGTAGCACTCCCTAGTGAATTCATGCCCTCTAGGGTTAAGTACCCACTCTTTAGGGTTGAGGCCATGTAATAGTCTCAGAAAAGAAAGGCATGTATAGAAGAAGGGCACACCTGCTTCTTGGCTTTGGATTTGCACCAGGTACTTGGGGAACATGGAAGGTGATACCTAGAGGAGAGAACTATCCATTGGAAGAGACATGTGGGAAGGCTGACAATAGCATCTATTGTCTTGATTTGTATGATTTTGAGCCTTTTATGCCAGATTTGGCTGGCCCCTTTGTTCCCTTCCTATCACTCCCCACAAGAAGGTACTTTAGGATTTTCACAACCTTCCTGGCCTCAGTGGCTCTGCTTTGGTCAAACCTTGTTTGGCTGGGCATTTGCCCATAAGGGGATAGGGAACTTTGGATTTCATTGGGAAACTATTATGCTTTCTTCTCTTCTCTCTCCAAGCATACTATTTCTTTTTGAAGTTCATTCACACTAAGTATGCTTTGTCTTTGTATGCATGGATGAGATGCACACAAATTAGAGCACAGAAACAAGTGAAAAAAATATATAAATAAGTTTTGGGAAAGAAAGGCATAAACGTATTCAACAGATGGAAAACTCCTGTGAAGAGCTCTGCAATGAACCCTGTCTTTATCTATCAGTTATTACCCATCAGCAGGTATCTCCAGCTGAAAGTTTCAAGCCTCCATTTCCCTGAAATGACATATAGGTAGATGACTACAAAATTTCCCATATATATATATATATATTTTAAATTTTCTTAAATTAATTGCTTTTCTTACACTTGAAATACCTGTCAGAGGTAATGTAAGATATGCAAGTTTGCCTTGACTGGAAATGAACATATACACCCCCCCCCCAAAAAAAAAGATGTCCAAAACAACAATAAAAAAATGAATTTTTTGTTTCTGTCCTGTGCTTGTCTCCTTGTAACTCCTTTTCTGGGAGATAACCCCCATAACCCATCTACCCATCTACCCCAATACTTTATAAATAAAACCCTAATTAGATGTGGCAGGGAGGGGGTTAAAGAAGCAGTTAGGGGGATCCCTTTTCCATCAGTCTCTTCTTTTGTGGTAATCCTCATTTTGACTTCTGAAAATAATGTTTCCCCCTTTACACAGTGGAGCTTATTATTTATCAGACCACTTGGGCTAGGCTTTCTGGCCAGTCATCAACCCAATGAGAAAGCTTGATAAAGCCAACGAAATCTTTCCAAGAAAAGAGTAATTTAGGTCTTTGCAGATGGAAGAACAAGAAAAATATGAGACTCTACACTAGCACAACAGCAAGGGTGACCTGGACTTGAATTTGCTTTCTGGGTTTACATTCTTGTTTGCATCATGAAAAGATCACTATTCAAATCTAGTTTTTGGTAGAAAGAGTTTTCCAAAGTAACGCAACATTTGTTTTCTTATTTTATATTCCTCTTTTGTCACCCCATCAGGGACTTTCTTATGTCTTGGTATCCCCATAATCTAGCAGGGGAACCTTTGTCAGTGAGCATTTTTTTAAAATTTAAAATGAATTAATTTTTCAGGCAGCTTTTGAGTATACAAAATTATTTGCATACAGGACATTTTTACATATATGCAGCAATTAAACCACAATAAATGACCTCCAGAATTGAGCATGAAATTCTCTTCTATTAAAATAAATTTGTAGAAGGATCAATTTAAAGCATCGCTGTTCACTTTGGGCAAAGGCATGTGAAGGCAAGGTTTACCTTTAAGATGATTTGAATCTGGGTAGGATTCTTGGTGGGGGAAACATAAAATCAGCAGCCTGAAAAACTTTGAGGTTGATTGTAATACAGACTCAAGACCTTTGCAGAAGTTGGGATCCTTTTGACTAAGATTAAGAGATCCATTGGTTTAGTGAGAGGACCGGGCTTTCTCAGTGCCTTTGCTATGAACAGTAATGACTCACGGTGTTGTTGCCGTGTATTATTTAATAACAGATGCACCTTTCAGTAGCCCAGCACTTGCACTGTTTCCATGTGTGCTCCCCTCGTTCCCTTTTTATTATCAACAGCACCACCGGGGCTTCTCTTAAAACATTTTGGATTAGTCATGGGATATAGTCAGAAGTGCTTTTCTTCTGTGTATGGCAGTGCAGTTGTTGTATGTAGGAGGAGAGGAATCTAGGCTTCTCTTTTCCTTCCTTTCAGTTACATTTGCTCCCTAATTTCTTCTAATATGCTTTCTACAGCTTTTCTGAGTCCCTAAAACAGTTCGCTTTAAAGCTACAGTTCACGGAAAAAGAGCTCTAGAGCTAGGCCTAGACTTGCTTAACACGGGAGCGCTGGCTCGGAGACTGGGGAAGGTTACCTCTGGTACACCAGCCCGGAGGATTTGGCTGGGAGCACACTTCCACCTATCTCCGGAGACTTCCGGAGCGCAGCCAGCACCGGAAGCACAGTGGCAGGCGTCTCCTCCTTATAGTGTCCTTGGTGAGGGGAGATCTTGTGCTTCTGCTGTCGAAGTGATGATTGTTTGAAATACTTTACTTCTGCTGGAACTCTCTCACTTTACCAAGAGGGTAGAAATCGACCTGGGGGTAAACTGACACCAATGAACGGGTTGGGAGATAGCTCTTATGCTGGCGTTCTGCCGGGGTCTCCTCATACTGTTGTCTGCTTCCTTCTGCTCCACACCTACGCTACCAGCATTGTTTTAAATCCCTTTTAAACCTGCCCCACCACAGTTCCCATTATGTATGATCGGGCTCCTCGCCTGCTGAGATTGGCAGAAGGTGGTAGCACAGACGAGCATGTGGGTCCTGGATCTTACCAGGTACCTTTCCTGAAGAAGCAAGCAACAGGTAAGATGTAGGGAAAAGCAATCCTGTGATGGGCACCTCACCGTCAGTCTGTTCCTCCCCTGTGTGCATGTGGGGTAAGCATAACACCAACTTCCATCTTAATACCACTTCATAAGTAGAACCATGCATGAAGTAGGCAGAGAAAACACTTACTTTACAGATAATCTGTTATGAATAATTTGTCCCATTTCACTAAGGTCAGTAAGCATATGACTGGGCCTTTGGTTCTACAATGGTTGTCAACACCATACTTTTATTTGTGCAGATTTAATCTAGGATTTTGATTCCCTGGCTCTGCTGACTTGGCACTGTGTTCTCAAACATTGTGAACTTCTTACCAACTACTCTTTTCTTTGTTGTCTTGTCTGACTTACTTAGCTTTCCTACTATTAACCTAATCCTTCTTAGGTAGATGTTTCCAGGCTGGCCATACCCATGTTCTCTTTGAACACAATGAGATTCCTTTATCTCACATTCTGTAAAGACAAGCTATACTTTTACGAGAGGGCAGAGGAATGGATAATTAAAATTATTGTCTCTCCTCATTTGTTTGCAATTAGTGACTTAAGTGTTAGCAACTACTTCCAAGTTGTTTTCTAATCTCATGATTTTGCAGAGCTTAATACCAACCAAATTATATTTTTCTCCTCATTACCTTGCATTTACCCTATTTCTGCATTATGCATACATTTTAAAAATAATACCAAGATCCATGGCTCTGACTGACCAGATTGCAGTGTTATGTTGATTTAGATTCCTTTGGGTAGAATACAATTTTGTCATTTCTCATAGTTTTAATTTAATCTTGAATGTTACAGCTTTTCAACATCTAATATTGATACTAATGTTCTTGTAGCTTATATGTCATTTCGTAGAGTTGAATTGTTTTAAATATTAATTCTCTAATAACTTATTATAATAATAACTTGTTAAAACCACCCAAACTGATTATATCTAATGATACTTTTTAATCCTTATTTTATTTTCACACAACTCACCACTGTCTTTTAAGAAATAGTCCTTGCCCTGGTATATCACTTATTTCCTGGTCTTTCTCCAGTGATTGTCTGGAAACAGACCTAATATGCATTTGTTCAGTCATGAATCAGGGAATCATTTTTCCCTCTCTAATTTTTACTAGTCTGAACCGGTCATATCACTAGCACTCAGAAATCCAAACTCTGAATTAAGTGATTGTTTCCATAAAGGAAGCATTTTATTAGTGAGTGGCACCATGGCTGGAAGACAATAGAGTCAGTACTTAAAAATAGCTATCTCACTGAGGGCAAGTGTAGGAAGATTATGTGAGAACAAAGGAATGTGGGGCATGCAAAGGAAAGGAGTTTTTCTTCATTCTTAGGTGTGGGTGGGCAAGCACAATCACAAGACTATTGATGATATTTCTGTATTTGTTGCTCTCTTTCATGTTATCAATTTCAAATGACTCATGTGTTTTTCATGTGACGTTATTAGCATCCTCAGAAGGAACAGATTTATTTTGATAAGCATTGAGTAACCCATTATCAGGACCTTGTAGACTGTCGTACAATGGCTTTTCCAGAAGGGGTCATGTCATTATTCTTGGTTCAGGCACCACCAGACAGCCAATCCTTCATAGTCTTCTTGAAATGTTTTTGTTTTTCTGTACGGCTTTTAAATATTTATATACTTAGTTTACATTTTTTGCTTGATGCTTTTCTCTTGAGTACTTTCTCATTCTGTCCATTCTGTACTACTTTCCTAGTATTTTGAATCTGTTGACATCCAGAAGAAAATCTTTAGAGAAAGATATGATTTATGGCTCTAAGATTAGCTCTCCTGATCTTATGGCATTCAGCATTGTCAATTAGGTTTTTTGACATTGCTATCTGGGTAGTCTCTGGCATCTGAAGTGCACTGAGTGTGCAGAAGTGTACACAGTTATTTCACTTGTATAGTGTATGATGTAGCAAGAGCTGCTGTTGAGACTTTATATATTGTTTATGTGTTACTTTGAACTACATAAGAGGAGACGTCCTTAGGGTCTTAGATTTTCAAAAGAAAGATGCATATAATCTTTATTTCCAACCTTTCTTTCTTTCAGTTGCCACTATACTATTAAAATAGCCTGGTTGGTTAATCATCTGATGTATTGTACTCTCAGGATATTCTATATGCCTTAATTTGCAAACGTTGTTGCTTAGCTTTTTGCCATTTGAATGGGGTGCTTATTTTATGGCCAGGATTTGCAGCTTAGGGTACAGGACTGAGCTGCTCTGATTTTGAGTAGGAGAGGTAATGAATATTTCCATTCTAGATTAGTGAAGACTGTTTTTGATTTTCTAACGTATCTGAGAAGCAAGTTTATCTTATTTCATTAAAACAAATTTTCCTCAGTGACAACCAGCCTAGTTTAATATGAAAATAAAAAAACAAATCTTTTAATAATTTGAGTTACCGTTATTATTATGCTAAGGAGTATTTCATTGCGTTATGTGCTTGATTCATGTAGTAAATGGCATCCTGCATTACCTGTCTATAAATGGTCTATATTGGTTCTCTATTAGTTATCTAAATTGGGTGACAATGGGTTCTAAATGTATTCTTTCACAGATTCTGTCTTCAGTAGGGCAGCAGTTAGCTTTATCTGCCACAGAAACATGTACTGTCCATGCTTTCGTATTAATGCCTGTGTACTTATAATGACAATAATGATTTCAGGTGGTTAGCCAGTCAGAATTTAGGGGAGCCACATCAGTGAATACAATCTATCTTTACTTAAGTTTAAATAAGCAGTATGTATGTGATGACTTTCTATGTTGATGTCTGTGGAGATGGGTAACTGTTTCTAAGGCCTAGTTATTGATTTTATGTGAAGAGAGCACTTTTCTTTTGTGTGTGTATGTGTCAGTAGATATGGATGTAAAACATGCTCTTGAATTATGTGCAACCTACATTGTTTCTCAGAATGAACTGATTTTTATTGCTGCATTTCAATTTGCTTTATCTTCTTTTATTGGCAGTGCAAACATAATATATACCAATATGAACTTACTCATTTCTTCCTCTCTGATATTCTTAATTTCTTCTTTCTAGTTGACAGTTTGATTTATCATATAACCTCTCATGTCTCAAGTTAAGCTTTAAAAATAGTAATTTTTTTGAGGTGATGCTGGTTTATATCATTGTTGGTGCTTTGGGAATACAGGCGTCTCCCACTTTAGGTAATTGCCATAGTGCACCCACCACCAAAACACCCATGATCCACTGTCAGTCACTTGTGCTCCCTACACACATGTTCTCACCATTCCTCCTCCCCTGCCCCCTCTTCTTTCCTCAGCTCTATACTCAGTTTTCTAGGATTAGTTTCTAAGTTTGGACTTATCTGTTCCTTTGTTTAGTTTCTTTTTAAGTTCTACTTACAGAGTTCCACTTATAAATGACACCACCTGGTATTTATGTTTTTCCTTCTGACTTACTTTGCTTAGCATAATCCCTTCCAGCTCCATACATGTTACCAAGAATGACCAGTTTGTCATTTTTGATTTCTGAGAAGCATTCCATCGTATTTAAATACCACATCTTCTAGCTATACTAATCCATTTTGTGGCACTTAGGTTGTTTCATATTTTGGCTACTGTAACAGTGCTGCTATGAACATGGGAGTGCAAGGTCACTTAGAATTAGTGTTTTTGAGTTCTTTGGTTATATAACTACAAGTAAGATTCCTGGGTCATATAGGAGATACATATTTAATCTTTAGAGAACCCTCCATACTGTTTCCCACAAGGGTTGAGCCAGTGTAGTTTCCCATCAACAGTATAAGAAGGATCTTTTTTCTCCATATCCGCACAGCATATATTGAATCTGGTCTTTTAGATATGGGTCATTTTTACAGAAGTGTGGTGGTATCTCATTGTGGTTTTGGTGTGCATTTCCTTAATAGTAAGTGATGTTGGGCCTCCCTTGGTGGCGCAGGTGGTTGAGCGCCGTGCTGTGAAGCTGTCCATAGCCTCTGCAGTGCAGGTTCAATCCTGGCCAGCCTGCGAAGGTCCCACATGGCACAGCCGACCTCTCCTGTCTCGCCTGCTGCTCCCCTCAGCAATGTATTTCATCGGTCTGCCTCTTCTGTTCCTTGCTCTGTCTCTGGTGAATCCTCTCACCCTTCCATGCAATCTGGCATACCCCAGTTCTTGTATAAAAAAAAAAAAAAAAAGTGATGTTGACTATTTTTGGCATGCTTTTTGAGCATCTGGTTGTCTCCTTGAAGATGTGTGTATTAAGTGCTTCTGCTCATGTTTTGATTGGGTTATTTGTTTTATTTCTATTGAATTATGTGAGTTGATACCCTGGTTTGTGTCATAGCTTTGGGAGAGGATTTTCACCATTGAGAATGATGATAGCTGTGTGTTTGTTATATACACCTTTTATTATTTTAAGATATGTTTCATTTATTTTAGTGTTTTCATCATGAAAGGATGCTGGATCATATCAAATGTTTTTTTTTTTTTTTAAAGATTTATTTATTTATTTGTACAAGCACTGGGTACAGTTAGAAGCGCGGGAGGGTGAGAGAATTCACCAGAGCCAGAGCGGGGAACAGAACAGGCAGAATGATGAAATACACTGCTGAGGGGAGCAGCGGGTGGCAGGAGAGTTCTGCGCACCATGTGGGACCCTCGCCGGTGGCCGGAGATCGAACCAGCGCTGCAAAGGCTGCGGGCAACTTTGCAGCCCAGCGCTCAAAGGCTGTGCCACCAGGGGAGGCCCTCAAATGGTTTTTAAGCATTTTTTGATATGCTCATATGCTTTTGATTTTTCTCTTTGTTGATGTGTGAATTATGTAGATTGATTTTCACATGTTGAACCATTCTTGGGTTCCTGGTATGAATCCCACTTCGGCATGATGTATAATCCTTATAATGCATTGTTGGATTTGGTTTGCTAAGATTTCACTGAGGATTTTGCATCTTGTTCATTAGGGGGGTTGCTGTATAGTTTTCTTTCTTTTACCTTTGCTG